CTTGTGTCCAGGAAGCGTATTTTGGTCAAAATTTCCCGATTCCACGATTCTTCCCACTCGTCAGGCATACGTATTCGGTTATTGTGACCAAAATACACTTCCTGGACACAAGTGCATGAATGAAAAGACAAAAGACTACTGGATGTGCTTGCCTGACGAACGGTAAGAACCATGAAACCGGTCGTGTACTTCCAGCGCAATTTCATCCAGTCGTTTACATACTATTCATTGTAAAAATGTTCCATAAAGACGCTTAAGTTGCGGTTAGTAGCATCTAACCTACCTACAAAATATCCAATTGTAGTGTTGATTAATCAATATATATATATATATATATATCAAGAGTTCGTATCTTCAAAATTTGGAATACAGTGACGCAATCATCGGGCTCACTGGCACTCCAGGAAACGCTGAAAGCAACTAATTTCTGGCATTGATATTGATACTGAATTCAATGTGCCAAAGTGTAAGGTTCCATCTCTATGACACAAGGAGCGATTTTCCTATTTCCTCAGAAATGAACAACTGCCACATAACCTGGGCATCCGCATTCAAGGGATCTTAAGCTGCTCAATCAACTGCACCAAGGTGTCCAATGCAGCTGTGAAGAATGTCGGTTTACTTGGGCGGGTCTTTGACCGGTTTGAGTCTGCACTTTTCCCCCATCTGCCGCCAGCATACATTCTCCCACTCACAGAGTGCGCTATCCAGGCATGGAATCCGTTGCTACAACGTGATTGCGAGATGCTGGAGCGTCCATAAAGGATGGCTACCAAAATCGTTAAGGGGTTGAATCGCTATTCATAAGCAGAGAGACTGGATTCGTTGGTGTTATATTCCAACCACTGCCGGCGCATCAGAAGAGACATGATTATGGCATACCAAATAATGCAAAACCTATGCTATCCGTGTCGCCCGCTGCTAAAATTATCACCCACCGTTCATCTTAGAGGGCATCCGTTCAAACTAATGGTCTCCAAATGCCAATTGGAATGGCCGCGTCAGTCATTCGTAGTCAGTGTTCGATCTGGAACTCTCCCTTTTTCACGTCGTCTGTGCGCCAAGCATTGAATCTTTCAAACTGAAACTTGCTGAAGCATTAGCACGCCTTACATTCCAACATAAGTGAAGCTGCGTGCAGCAGTGGGAGAAGCCCGTATCGTGTGATAATTTTGCACACGGAATTGTATGTATCACTGTCTTTTAACCACAACACGAGCGAGACAAGTATGTGCTTGTAAGTTATGCCCATAATAAAACTCTAAACTTCACATTCTACATGTGAGGTCTCGGATTTGATTCTAAACCCGATTGATGGATTTGCAGTGTTGACCAGACGTAAAATGAATTCAGCTGTGCAATGTATTCTGACTTTTTCTGTTCATCTTACGTTTTTCCCCGCACACATGCGTCTAATGTTCCGTTCTCCATCCCTGACTGTTCCCCCTCAGAGTGCTTCAAGTTTCACGGAAAGAAAAGGTCAAACCTCGCCCGCAAGGTCTGAACACGGTGGAGATGTTACGCGTGGCTAGTTCGGCCCTCGGAATCGGACCGCACACTGCAATGGCCGTAGCCGAACGACTGTATACCTCAGGCTATATCAACTACCCGCGTACAGAAAGTACCGCCTATCCGAGCACGTTCGATTTACGTGGTCTGGTTCAGAATCAGGTAGGTTTTGTATAGTAAATTTGCTTTTTGTTGGCTCTGTGCCCAACGTATCTGGTTGTGCTTATCAACGCCATCGGTGCTGTGCTTGTTTAGTGTGTGATGTTGCTCGCCAAGTAGGAAGTGGAAAAGTGCGCGCGCACACACCAACAGACGTGTATATCTGTGTGTGTGCTTACGTACCAGCAGTCATATATCTTGTGTTTTCTTCTGCCAGTCTGTTTTCCTACTTTTTATTCAAATCGATCTGTGTGGTAATACAACCTATGCTACCAACTGTGCTGGTCTTTCGCCCAGCAAACTGACCCGGACTAATCTGCCTAGATTTCCACGTAAGCATGTTGCAAATTAGTAAATCCCAGTGGAAATCCGTAATATCTCCGTATCTTCCTTGTGATTGCGTCAGTTCTGGACACCAGAGTGGAACTATGAAAATGATATTTTTTCTGCTACGTGTTCGCCAAGCCCCATCCTTGCTGTGGTCACGTTCCGGTTTATTCAGCAAACTGTTGTACCAATTCTACCATAATAATGTTAGCAATAATAATAATAACGTATGGGCTAATAATGGAATTATTCGAACAGGTACCCCTTTGGTCTTCCATTGGAACAGTTTGTATTAACTATTTGCTGCTTTCCTTCGCAAAACAAGTTGCCAAATGTAACCGTACTTTTGAATTCATTCATCCGGTGGGGCGTTCATGTTGAGAGTAACCCAAATTTTGCAATTCCGTTAAATTCACGTCTGACCATTACAACGGACCTCGAATTCCAGTCGAGGTTGGTTCTATTTCCGACCCATTGAACAGACTGAAGAAATCTTCTGGAATCCCACTCTCTAGTATGCAGAACTATCCACAAACTGGTATCTTTTAGTGCGAACCGTCAAATTAGACAATTCAGATGATTTATACTGGCAAAGGTCTCACTGGAACAGGCGTGACACAGTAAACCCATCTGTCCGGGTTGCATTGTTCGAATTTAGAAGCACGATATCAGGGACTCAAACTACTCGATCGCTGCTAACCGCTCGACTGGCTCTTCCATGGGCAATCCATCGCAGTGGACTGAGTTGTGCAGTGACGAACGAGGACTGAAGTAACAGTGGTTAGTGAACCGTACGCGTCGAATAACTAACTACAGACAATCAACCACCTCATCGTCGAAATGCGCTTGGTGTTTTCATCTTGATATGTAATTGATCCTGATTGGGAATACAAATGAGCAATTTCATTTAGGCACATTTTCATCTCAGGTTGGCAACGTTGGCGGAGAAATAAGATGCGTCTCTTTTTCTCCAACTGCATCCTACATGATGTAGTGACGTTCGGTTGAACAGAATTATATCGTGCAAACTAGCATCCCCGGGGTAATATATTCATTTTACTAGTTTCTTACTACTCAAGTTTGAGCCAAACCGCATCCGTTTCCTCACTGCTCGTGTTGGAAACGTTGGTGCAGAACGGGAGACAGTATTCGTACTGCTTCATTTGAACCGCGACTAAAAAGTGAACTGATATCTTGACGTCTCGAGAGAGAGAGAGAGAGAGAGAAAGAGGGGAACCACTGGTACGTTCATCAGTCAAACCGCTATTCCCACTTGAATGAAGCTATTGACAACAATGAGACTACTGTTCGCTACTTAATTTTTCATAGTGTTACGATAGGAATTCTCAGCAAATGATCACTGAGACAAGTCACACTGTTCGTGAGGCTGTCCGTCGGCGCCCTCCCCCCCACACACACTTAAAATGAGACTGCACTGTCGTGTG